AGGACTAGCCAATTCTTATATTATTCTTGAATATTTTATATATGCATGTGATATTGAACACTATATTGTTTAGTATTATTGATATGTGTGCATGATATGTATACATACACACATGCATGCATCATATTTGTAGCTCTTCTTTCTACAGGTTTCATTATTTGTCACATCTCTCTCTCTCTCTTTACATATATATACACACACATTTTCTGTCTTATTCCTATCCATTTGTTCCTTTCTTCCACTCTGACCAAAGTAGACTTTGAGGGTAGTTGAGTTCAGGCCAAGACCTCCAGTGCGTGCGTCCCACTTCTTTCTCAGTCCTTTCTCTCGGTTCCTCTCCATTTGCCTATTCCGCGTTGCATCAGGGCTGTTGTGCCGTACATCTTGCGGCCGAAAATGATGGAGAGCGTGCTGCAGGGGAGCGCTCGCTGGCAGTGCTACTGGGCTCCTGCGCAAACCAGGCAGTGTCATTCCAATCGAACGCACCTTACCCGGTAACCCCTTTTCGTTTTGCTTTCATGTCTTTTTCAAGACTGTTAGACCCTTAGACATTCTTTTATGCTTGTTTTTGCATGTGTTTTCCGGTACTTTTCTATGCCACATGCAATTCCTGCTCTGAAGCAAGAATTTGGTAAGGGCCTCTTTCCCACAGGACGGTCGCAGTGCTTCCCTGACAGCTCCACACGGGCCATCACAACAGCTGCTGGGCAAAAACCTGATTCAAACATATGTTTTTTCAATTTCTTGTTTTTTTCTCATTCCGTTGGTGCAAAGTGAAAGCAAGAGGAACCAAACATCACGGGATGAAGAATCACTGCATCTGAGGATGTGCATCCGGGCTTCCTTGGCCGAGGCGAAGCTGGAGCCTGGAGAGGTGGAGCTTGGAGTCTTTCCGTTGTAAGCTAATTCATGCCGGTGGGTTCCACCCCGCCAGGTGCAGGTGGGCGAATGCCATGGGACGGGGACCGCGCTGGGTGACCCCATTGAGATTGGAGCTATGAAGAGCGTGCAGTCATATGCCCAGACATTTATCTTAGGTTGGCCATTGCAAGTAGGTTGGAGGCCATCGCTAGTAGGTTGGAGGCCATGGCTTCTGGGTTGGAGGTCATCGCTATTAGCTTGGAGGCAATCGCTATTGGGTTGGAGGCCATCGCTAGTAGGGTGGAGGCCATTGCAATTAGGTTGGAGGCCATCGCTGTTGGGTTGGAGGCCATCGCTAATAGCTTGGAGGCAATCGCTAGTAGGGTGGAGGCCATTGCAATTAGGTTGGAGGCCATTGCTGTTGGGTTGGAGGCCATCGCTGTTGGGTTGGAGGCCATCGCTAATAGCTTGGAGGCAATCGCTATTGGGTTGGAGGCCATCGCTAGTAGGTTGGAGGCTATCGCAATTAGGTTGGAAGCCATCACTATTGGGTTGGAGGTCATCGATATTAGCTTGGAGGCCAGCGCTATCAGGTCGGAGGGCATCGCTAGTAGGGTGGAGGCCATTGCTATTGGGTTGGAGGCCATCGCTAGTAGGGTAGAGGCCATTGCTATTGGGTTGGAGGCCATCGATTGGGTTGGAGGCCATCGCTATTGGGTTGGAAGCCATCGCTATTAGCTTGGAGGCCGGCGCTATCAGGTTGGAGGCCATCATTGCTAGTAGGTTGGAGGCCATCGCTAGTAGGGTGGAGGCCATTGCTATGGGCCATCGCTATTGGGTTGGAGGCCATTGCTATGAAACTTGGTCATCATCCTGTTTCATTTGCTTGCCACATGCGTCTGCATTCCTTGCGCGCTTTTTTCCGCGTTGGTCCTGTTCGAGGTTTAACAAGCGCTCCAACCCCCCTGCTGCACGCTTCAGCAAAGTCCAATGTGGGCCATGAGGAGGCGAATGCCGGAACCTGCGGTTTCATCAAGGTTTGCATGCTGCTGAACGGCGGGGCCACTCTGCAGAGATTTGGAACAATAGCGAACACCCCGTACTATTTGGCTCGGAGAATGGACTTATACAACTGTTTTATGTACCCTCCGCTAGCTGAAATTAATCAAGGAGGGGGGTCTGCTCAATTATTTTTTCTCAATTAATTAAGAAATCACCCGAGAATGTCGTAGAAATTCATGCTCGGGAGAAGATGTTGGATAAAGAAAGTTAATTGGGATTTTCCCCGGCATTCCCCGGCTGTGCCTTGGATCAAGCTAGGGCAAGGTCTGTGGAAAAATAATCAAGAGGGTCTAGAGATGCTTCAGACCCCTCAATTAATAATCAAGATGAGCTAGGCCATCAGGGGCCATCAACTAGAATTGTTCGCACATATATTCCCGTAGAGTTGCAGAATCATAAAGAAAATTAAAGACTACAAAAGGAATCTCATGTCAGTTTTCAAGAAACTTGATTTTAGGGTACGCCATGACGGACGCACCCCTCAAAAACTTGAGGGGGTTTAGCCTCTGGGAGAGGGGTCGATTAATTTAGTGGGCAGGCATATTTTTGGGAAAGTGCAGGGGCAAAGCAAAAACCTATGAAGGCCAACAAGAAAAAGTACTAGAACACCCTGGAACACTAGATCCACTTGCAAAAACCACCAAAATCCAGGCAGAATATTAGCCACCACACTCAAAACCACAAAGTGGAAATTAATTGAGGGGGGGTTAGCCTTTGGGAGAGGGGTGGATTAATTTAGTGGGCAGGCATATCCCTGGGAAAGTGCAGGGGTAAAGCAAAAACCCATGAAAGCCAACAACGAAAAGTACTAGAACAACACCCTGGAACACTAGACCCATTTGCAAAAACCATCAAAAACCAGGCAGAACAGTAGCCACCACACTCAAAACCTCACATTCATTGTTGTTCAGACTTCTTTAATCTTCTTTATACAGTTTTGTTATGTTTTGTTGAGTTGGCTTTGTTAGGTTAGCTTTGTGCAGCGTCCAGTAGCCGTTCATTAGAATTCTCTAGAATGTTCAGCTGACGGGGCGCTGACATCATGAGACCAGAATAGACAGAAACCAGATCTTTGAGGAGAAAATATTGCGGAAGTTGCCAGAATTGTTTTCAAGGGTTGCCAGAGTTTCAAGGGCCAACAGTAAAAATTAATCGAGGGGTTGCCAAGGGGCTCTTTACTGGTCATTTTATTTTGGAAAGGGCCAACCAGCAAAAATTAATTGAGGGGTGGTCAAGGGGCTCTTTCTTGGGGGGGGTGCCCCAAGCAAGGCCTATAGAAAATTAATCCAGGATCTTCTTAATTTCTAATTAATATTGGTGAAATCTATACAGACCCCCTCAATTAACTTTTTTTACTAATTTGAGGGGGGCCCCCACTAGGGACCCATCTAGTGTAGGGGTCATACTGTTTTGTTTTTTTATGTGTTATTTATTTTTCTTAGGACCTTACAGCCTCTCTCTCTCTCTCTATCTCTCTCTCTCTCTCTCTGTTATTTTTTACTCTTTGCCTGGTTATTTCTAAACCGTACTTTCTTTTTCTCCTGGAACATGAACTTACATCACTACCCTCTGCTACAAAGAATTATTCTTGCAGTTTGAGTTTGCAATGGAAGTGGCTTGGGATTCATGGAATTTGAGGTTTCCACGCCCAACCCGCACCTGACAGCCCTGAATCCGCATTTGGACACCAATGCTTATCCGGTGATGTTCACAAATGTGACTTGGTCTCGCAACATGTTTTCGTGCGACAAGCAGGGCATCGCTTCTAGGTTGGAGGCCATCGCTATTAGGTTGGAGGTTATCGCTAGTAGGTTCCTTTTGCTATTAGGTTGGAGTCCGAGGCCATCGCCTAATCTGTGAAATTTGTGATTTGACATTCCGAACCCCACAGGAGCTGACCTGCACGGCACGGCGTGATATGTGTGCTGGAGTATCTTCCTTTGGCTTCGGAGGAACCAACTCTCGTGCCGATCTTTGGGCTGACGTGGAGAAGGGCCCTTACAAGGAGCTCTTAGTTTCGGAACGTGCAGACACAAAGCCTCGGAGAAGAGGAACGTCGGAATGCGCAGTCGTGAGTCTTGCCAGGACGGGACCCAGATGGAGCTGACGCCCTCCGAGGGCGCCAAGTGGATCAAGCGACTCCTGGACAGCGAGACCACAGGCTCTCAGTACCAGTTCCTTGGTCGAGAGCTAGGAGCCCCTAGTAGTGTCCTTGCTCATAGTAGCAAGGCCAGGAGCCCCTAGTAGCGTCTTTGCGACCAGATTGGGACCAGATGACACCAGGTAACCAGTCCTTCAGAATTTTGGACTGTGAGAGTTTGATAGTTGATGTTCACTCAGGGTGGTGCAGCAGTTGGGCGTGTATCTGGGCGCATAGAATTTGAGCAAGCGTGTTTCATGTCCCTTTTCTCACTTTACAGAGGTTCAGAGCACAATAGCCTCCTACACTGCTACACTTCACCAAGGCAACACAAGAAAGGCCACTGAAGAGAGCTGCCCAATCCGGCAGGCGGAGTTCCAGGCATGTACAGGGAATCTGACCAACATGAAATGAGAGAACAAGGAACATGTCGGAAATTAGGACAACACATGTCGGAAATACAGCATACACTAAAAGCTGCAACACAGACCTAGCGTTGGACCCAGCACCCTTTCGATATTGCGATCGCTTGACGGTCCTCGAGACCTCTCCTTTCAAGCTGGAGCTTGTGGAACTAGTCCACGATTTTGCGATGCGCTACAGGGCTGTTTTTCCGATGCCCCAGCAGCAAATGACATCGCGAGAGCGCCGCTTGAGCGCTTGCGCATCAACACCAAGAGCCCAAAGGGGCGTGATGCGAACGTGCCCTTTCAAGGCCCTTGACGAAGGCCCTTGAAAAAGGCCTGGAAGGGATGATAATGTCTTCGACCTCCGGTCCGAAAGGGCTGGAAGGTGCATCTTCCGCTGGGGAGTCAAACAAGAAATGTGGCCACAGTGCTCATGGTGCCTTGTGCTTTTTGGTGTGGACAGTGGACAGCACAGTGGACAGCACAGTGGTGTGAAAAGAATGCTTTGTGTTGCACCCATGTTCCAGCAGGTGGGTGGTGCGTGCCACACCTAGATATGCATGCCATTTCGAAGACGACATGCTAGAGGCTATTGCAAGATCCAAGGTACAAATACCACAGATGGTTGTGTACTCTGCGGGACGGAGCAGATGTGTAGGCCTTAGCATTCTTGACTTTTGATTTGCTTGATGCGCGAAACATGCTTCGTTTGAGTCAAACCTTTGGGCTGTGGTCTGGGAGAATGCCAGGTCCAATCCCAAGTGCGTGTGATGCAAGTTGGTTTTCCTTGACACACGCTGAACTGCTCTGAATTGCTGATCTTTTTCTTTGAAGAAATGGTCTTCTTACAAGTTGGGATAGGCCATCGCTAGTAGGTTCCTTTTGCTATTTGGCTGGAGGCCATTGCCATTTGGTAGGAGGCCATCGCTATTAGGTGGACTGTCTTTTGTGTTCCCTGCCCAGGCCAGGGCCGAACTTCAAGGACGGGTGGTCCCGATGTGGTCTTGTTTTAGTTGATCCGCCGGATGCACAGCTTGGAATATTTGGGGATGCACGAGAGAAGACTACAGAGCACTGAGTTGGATCTTCAAGCCTTTGATCCTAGACCATTGCTATTAGGTTGGAGGCCATCGCTCTTAGGTCCTTTGAAGAGTTTGACTGAGGTCCTTTGAAGACTTACCCTGTTCGGAGTGGCCAGCGTCCTTGAAGTGTGACTCTTGTTGGGGAGAGGCAAGACATGCTGAGACTGAGGTCAGTGAACCAAGCACTTCCCCTCTACAGTCTCACGCCATGATCTTGGAAGTTTTTGAGGTTTGCGTTGAAACATGGACCTGTTCAAAGTGGAAATTGTGAAGCTGAGTGAATTGGCTTTGTCACCAAGGGTTCAAGTCCAGGGCAATAAGGCCACGAGATGTGATGAGATGTTGTGAGATGTGCATCGGATGTTCTGCGGAGGTGGAAGCTTTGCCACACCTATGCTTGGGGGACGTAGTGCGAGCAACATTGGCACGCTTTTCCAGGGAGAGAGAGAGAGAGAGACACGCGCACACAGACACGTTTCTCCAACATTGGAACCTGTGGAGCTGACTCTTCATGCACTTAATCCTCCTGTACATGTGTGTCGGCAGTGAAAAGGACAGTGAAAGGATAGGTCTCAAAGGACAAATAAAAGAAATGATAAAGGGAAAAAATAGAAAAGAGGCCGTGCTCAGATTCATATCGATCCTTTGCCAGGTACATCGTGCCAAGATCAAAGCCAAGCTGCCTCGCTTCATGAACATCGAACCGCAGCGGCCCGCATCTGAAGTTGAGGGTGCCCTGCTTCAAGGGCTTTTCATGTACTACAGTACACACAATCCTGCCATGGTTGCCTTAGTAAATAGGACATTGTGGCGATCCTTCTAGTGACTTCTCCTTCTTGTGTGCTTGCAGCTGCAGGGTACGTTGGTGAGGTAGCTCAGTGGCAGTTAATGGGTGAAACAAGCTGTCCGAGGCATTCTGCAATTGTGGCCTTTCCCTGTCCCAACCAGCTGTTGGATGAGGCGTGGCTTATGTGAGTTGGTCAGGTTGGAGGTAGGTTGGAGGAGGTTGGAGGAGCATCGCTAGCAGGATGGAGGCCATCGCTAGTAGGTTCCTTTTGCAGGCCATTGCTGGTAGGTTCATTTTGCTATTAGGTTGGAGGCCATCGCCATTAGGTTGGAGGGCATCGCTATTAGGTTGGAGGGCATCGCTATTAGCTTGGAGGCCATCGCTAGTAGGATGGAGGCCATCGCTAGTAGGTTTCTTTTGCAATCAGATTGGAGGCCATCGCTATTAGGTTGGAGGTCGTGCCTTGTTTAAAAATCATAAGTATTTGGCCGCATGTAGACTGCACTAGGCAACTGATGCGTCTGGACAGTCACACAACCGCCCCTTTGCCGCAATAGAAACTGAGAGTCAAGTCTATTTATCCTATCAATCCTCCATAATTTGTTTATAGTGTAATCCTACTAGGAGCAACAGGACGCCATTAGGGGCTCCTGGCATCGCTACTAGGAGCCAGAAGCTACTGTACTAGGGGCTCCTGGTGATCCAATCTCAAGGCATCACGACCGTTTTGCCTGAACCAAAGATGGAAGAGTTTGCCTTTACGCTAAGCCGTGACCAGGATGAAGAATTTTAAGCAGCCTACGTGCAGAAATGCTTTGCGCAGGTCGCACATTTAATAAATTCCGCCACCTGGACTCGAACCTGGGTCGCTCGGGTGAAAGCCGAGTATCCTAACCAGCTAGACTATAGCGGATTCTGTTGGGCACAAGAGGGATCCACCGTTGAAGACTGGATGTGAGACAAGGCCACATCCAGGTTAGATATTCACTTGAGCAGTGCTGGCATCGCTACTAGGAGCCAGAAGCTACTAGGGGCTCCTGGCATCGCTACTAGGAGCCAGAAGCTACTAGGGGCTCCTGGCATCGCTTAAGAGCCAGAAGTTGAATTCCATGACCTTTGAGGTGCACTCCAGGGCCAGGAGCTTGGTGATGGCAGAGCAACATTTTAATCTACCACCTGGATTCACACTTGAGCTGTTCACAACTGCGCCTCCTTTCACTTGCAGGGGCTGAACACACCATCGTGGAGGCCGACAAGTCTCGTGCACGCTCTCTCCAGGCAGCAATGTGAATGTGGAAGATCCCGCGACCACAAACCATCAGGTTGATCGTGATTGATCTAGCGAAATGTAAAGATGGCCTCAAAGACCTTTCATGATCATGATCGCGCAGCATTTCCCAGCTTGCACTTGTCGATATTTGGAGGGATGCTTAGTGGCTTAGTGCCTAAATATCCTGTGATGTTTTGAACTTTACATAACCCCAGGGCCTTAGGATCGAACCGGTTGTGTAGAAAAAAATCAGGCCTAGTTCGATGCGGAGGGGTTGCCATGTTCTGATTCTCGTGCTTTATCCGCTATTGGAGTATGCTCTATGCCATCTATGCTCCATGCACGTCTTCATCGGCCCTTCAACACACTGCCGTACGCAGCGGGTCGCGCGGGCCTGGGGGAGCCTCACGCCAGAGCAGCGACGGACGCCCGGAGGTGGGGCGACGCACCTGGCAGAGTTTCTCTTCGAAACAGCACAGCTAACGCCCTGCCGTTACATTGTAAATGGCCTGGCTATTCTGGAGACTACGGCAGACCTTCGTGCCGGGCGAGCTGATATCAATATCAATACCTCTCCCAATGGGCGGACAGTCTTACAGTTGAAGGCGCGAGATGGGAGTTTTCAAGTGAAACTGGATGCAGATGCAATAGTGGCCATCGAATTGGAAGATTCTGATACAGTTGCGCCGGGCCTCTTCAGGTTTGTTGATGCCCAGGGCCGAAGGCATCTCACTGTGTTGATGCTAGGCGATGATGTGGATGCCCGGTTCCAAATCATGCTCGGTCGCTGGACATCTCGAGTTCGTTTGAAGGAGTAATCATGCGTCCCAAAGAGGACGAGCATTGTTTTGAGCCCTCGATGGCACATGAAAGGAAACTCTGTCGTTTACTCACCCTTTCTCTTCACCAAGAGCACTTTCGAGAAAAGGGATGGCCTCCAACCTAAAAGAAGGGTTTTAAATGATATATTTTATTGTGCAGGTGTGGATTCAGAAGCGCCTCTCCAAGGAGACGATGTCACAGTCCAATCCCCAAAGAAATCCACACACGGAGCTCGACGTGTGAGACAAACAGGTAGCTTCTTGCCACTAGTAGCGATACACTTGTTACTAGTAGCTTCTAGCTACTAGTAATGGCCTCCAACCCAATAGGGATGGCCTCCAACTCAGTAGCTTCTTGCTGCTAGTATGTGCATCTTTTGTGGCAGAATCCTTCGGACACAAACGGCTGCACACAAGCAGCTGTACCGCTCTGTCAAAATAGCAAACCATGCTTCGGTGACATTTGGAGACATTTCAAGGCTTTGGTGTTGAAAAGCAAATCTTTCGATTCAGAACATATCAAGAGCTCCAAGGTACTTGGTGATGATCCAAGAGCTCCTGGGGACTTCGGCGCAGCGGGATCTTGTGGTCAAGGCGAAACCGCCATGTTTCTGAGAATCTAGTAACAAGGACGCTACTAGGAGCAAAGGGCATCGCTACTAGTAACAAAGGGCATTACTACTAGTAGCATGCTTGCTACTAGGAACAACTTCCAATTTAGTTTCAAGTCTAAATTCGGACTGGGAGATACGTCATTGACGCAGTATATTGTATATTGAAGTGAGCTGGCTTTGCAAAAAGTGACAAAATTCGCATGGAACTGACCAAACCACCAGGTCCTTGCTGTCCAAGCTTCGCCTCCTTGCTTGGTGGTGTCTGATGGGTCAGTGCCATCTGTGAGTGTAGGCCTAAAGAGGGGGTATCGCTGCGGCTTTTTCTAACAATAGTTTCTTTGTTTGAAGCTATTCACATCGACTTTACTATTTTTTCCAATGTGTTTTGTTCATTCTCAGGGAGATTGGAAACTCAAAATAGTCTGTCACTCAGGTGTTGACGTGCGGGCCCTGAATGGTTCAGATCGTGCACGTAGGCAGAATGAACAAGCATTGGAGATGGTAGAGTTCAACCTGTTTGGATTGGGGGTTTTGCGGAATCAACCTCTTTAGACTCTTTTTGGAACGCAAATCACCCAGGTGTCGGAACCAGTCTTGGCAGCAAGATATCTTCTATCTGATGCCTTTTGCCTCAGATGATGGTCTCATGTAAATTGAAAGGCAGGTGACCGGCAGGTGATGATGGTCTTCTCGCGAATCCAGCAGGTGAAGGTTGGACATTGGGTGCGAATCCAGCAGGCCCGAGCAGGTGGGAGGAGCATTGCAAAATTAACTAATAGCTTCTTGTTACTACTAGTAAGGCACTTGTTACTAGAAGCG